TTGCAGCCAAAGGTGCATTTACTAAATACTGACCTGAAGGGGGTAAATACTTATGCAATCTTTACTTTACCATATATATTTTTAATTAATTGACATTATTTTGTAAAAATCTGTTTTCACTTTGATATTAAAGAGGTTTTTTTTGCAAATTCTTGTCAAAAAAGCCAAATTATACTGACCATGATTTCATGTATAAAAGTAACAAAAGGATGAAACATCCAAGGGGGGTGAATACTTATGCAAGGCACTGTATAAACCACATCTCATATTCATCACGCGGATTACGATTGTATAAGTGAGCACTACATCAAAGCCACGTATGGAGAAATACATTGAAGAAAAAATATTTATGGAAAGATTGCAACCACCTGGATTCGAACTCTGTCGAGCAAAATAGTAATAAATCCAAAGACCGCTACGTGATCCGCCACTTACTCTCAGAGATGCGTCAGTCATTCAGGTTTTTATCCATTAGGTCATACCTCGTTACTGTCCAGGGAACGTTTTGGTTTAGGGTGAACTGAAACAACTGGTTACCTTGGGTGTCTATCCGAACACTTCCAAACATATTTATCAATGCTTTTTCGTGAGGCTTCGGCCATACACTGAAAATCATCATATAATTTAGGATTGAACTGAACACATTTGGTTCCTAAAAACATTCTTAGGAAGAGATTAAGGCACGCCAGACAAATTGTAATCTATCACTCCAATGTGTGTCCAAACATTTCCTGTACACAAATCGTGTGTTCCGCCAAAAGGTTATCTCGACCCAAACGAGGACAGGAGAGCATGACATAGTGAAGAGACCAGGATGCTCTGTTTGTGGTTCAACCCACTGGTTTGATTGGTGGAAAGTGACTTAAAGGGGGGTGAATTTTGACTATAACAGTAATCTGTGAAAAGTAATACATCGGATTTGTTTGGATTTGCTGAACTCGTATGTTGGCGTGTGCTTATTAAAACACTTCCCACTGGGTTGCAACTTCAATTCGCCGTCTCTTCTCGTCATTTTGCCACAACATAATTGGCGCCCCAACGTGAATTCGAGTCGAGGCCGAGGCATCTTCCACTTCTTCAGCCAACCGACAATCACGCTAGAGGCCACGTATCAGGTAGGAGATTTTCATATCTCACCATAGCTTTCTTTCTGTATAGCGTGATTCTCGCTTGTGTGATAAGGTGGGAGTGTCTGGGGTCCCCTCAACAGAATCCACGCTCTTTGGCGGAGGAGGAGAGACGCAGATTGGTGTTAGCGGATAAAAAACTAAAAGTTGAAATGTTGAAATGATTCAATTTGATCTCCAGCTGTAAAAAGAGAGCTCTCTGTAGAAGAGCCGTGCGCGGCACTGTGTTTGCCAGACGCCTGGATGTGGCCGTAAGCGAAAACTCGGAGCGCTCCTTGAATCTCTCAAGCTCAAGAGACTGTTGTGCGCTGATGATAAAGCGACTGTTGTGCGCTGATGATAAAGCGACTGTTGTGCGCTGATGATAAAGTGACTGTTGTGCGCTGATGATAAAGCGATTGTGCGCTGATGATAAAGCGACTGTTGTGCGCTGATGATAAAGCGACTGTTGTGCGCTGATGATAAAGCGGTTGTGCGCTGATGATAAAGCGACTGTAGTGCGCTGATGATAAAGCGACTGTTGTGCGCTGGTGATAAAGCGATTGTGCGCTGATGATAAAGCTATTTCTGCAAAAAAGGTTAAAGAACTCCATTGGGAGTATGATACGCAGGTCCTAAAACAAACCCTCTCAGGAGGCCTTCTCTGAGCTCGAGAGAAGTACAAAAGGACTGGCTTAGATTTATATATACTAAATATAACTAAACTAGAATATAGGGAATATGTTAAGAGTGGTTTCTGTCTTAGGCAGGAAGAACATTTGGTTCCTAAAAACATTCTTAGGAAGAGATTAAGGCACGCCAGACAAATTGTAATCTATCACTCCAATGTGTGTCCTAACATTTCCCGTACACAAATCGTGTGTTCTGCGAAAAGGTTATCTCGACCCAAACGAGGACAGGAGAGCATGACATAGTGAAGAGACCAGGATGCTCTGTTTGTGGTTCAACCCACTGGTTTGATTGGTGGAAAGTGACTTAAAGGTGGGTGAATTTTGACTATAAAAGTAATCTGTGAAAAGTAATACATCGGATTTGTTTGGATTTGCTGAACTCGTTGTATGTTGGCGTGTGCTTATTAAAACACTTCCCACTGGGTTGCAACTTCAATTCACCGTCTCTTCTCGTCATTTTGCCACAACACCACCAACGCGTTTTGACAAAAACAAATGTACTTTTGGACAATTATACAGTGATGATCATACTGTGAAAATACACTAAATAATTGCGAACTCTTGTCTCCGAAATCAACTTAGTTTGTTGACAAATTTTTTGCCACGGTCGGTCAGGATACGTTTTGGGGCGCCATGCTTGAAAAAAAATCTATTATGCATAATGTCACTACTTCAGCTCTCTTAGTTCTAGACTTCTAGCCACTTTGTGAAGTAGTCCACACACATACGAAACCATTGTTGGTGCATTTCAGCTTGCCAACTAGATCCATCCAGACTAGTTTGAAGGGCTGAGTCACCTTAGAATGCAAACCAAAGCTTAACACCAACAAGACTTCATACAACATGTTAAATTGAATGTTTATTCACCTCTACGGGTTATACTGAATTTTCTCCTTCATATTTTTTTTTCTGGCAGGCATCACATTGGGCAATCTAACAAAGTGAAACAATTGAGAACACTCTGATATTGAAAATGTGAATATTACCATAAGCTTAAGAACGTATAGCTCATCTTTGTTGAAATATGTCGGATAGATGTTGCTTTGTTTGAAGTCAAGCAATTATTTCACTCTCTGAGGGAGCATCGGTGCTTTCTTTAAATTGTTTGCTAGCTGTACGAAATAATTTCCTAGTGAGCAAATTCCGTATTAACCCCATTGTCCTTTTATACTGATGTTGCTAATTAATGTTACGTGATTGCTTGATCCTGAATTTTGCACGGTGTATTTTTGTTTTTATGTCTGTGAAGCACTTTTTAAACTGTGTAATATGTAAATAAAGTTTATTATCATTATTTTTAATGTTATTATAGACTGAATATAATTAAAAAAACCCTGGGCGTGAACACTAAACATTTGAAAATGCATTGATAAATATGTTTGGAAGTGTTTGAAGAGACGGTAACCAGTTGTTTCAGTTCACCCTAAACCAAAACGTTCCCTGGACAGTAACGAGGTAGGCCTAATGGATAAATACCTGAATGACTGACGCATCTCTAAGAGTAAGTGACGGATCGCGTCTTCCTAACAAAATTTTTAAAAATTTGGTAAGAAATGTCAATATTAACACGAGCATTGATGTGCTTCATCACATTACAGTCATATAATTTAGTTCATTCAAAAAATATGTTTAAATGTGCAGTGAGCAGTACGCTAAATTTAGAATACTTTAACCGCTAAACCATGCTGTCAGACAACCCCTCCCCAACCGGGAAATGAAGCAGTTATCTATGCTCTCTTCAAAGCCACTACTCAAAATATTCTAAAATATAGCATACACTTAAACTGGTATTGATTTTTTTTTAGCCGTCTAAAATACATTTTGATGCTGCCCCCGTCCACAACAATTCATTGCTTTGCTCACCTGTCTGTTTCTACAAACTCCATCTACTGTCGGTAATACACCGACTATAGAGAAGTACCTCATACAGTCCCTCTTCAAAACACTTGAAATGTCTCTTTAGAGTGGCAATATCCAATTTTTTCATTTAAATAAATGTCTGTTAAGTCACTTTATATCCCCTCTGGCCCACTGGTGAAAGTATGCAATATTTATATATTTGCAGTATCACGAACTAAGTGCCTGTGGTGACATTCCCAGAAAATAATTGTGATAACTATTACAGTCTCAGCACAGATATGTTTAGTATTCGAAATCATGCGGGGAAAATTCTGGTGTGTGTTAATAGAAAGCACATTCTCGGATCTTAAAGAAATGTTGTAACTTGCATCATTCATGAAATATCTATAGTTTTGGTATGCATGGAGGCAAGGATAATACTGAATTACCACCTGGTTACCTAGTCACTCATCCACTAATTCCTAGCCTTCACATTGCATCATTCAACCACGCTGTGGTCCTCCGGTCCGGGACCTCTGAACGCACTCAAGGACCCCGTTATTGGAAAGCACTGCTCCTCCTGATTCAGTCCGTCAAAGGAGCCTCAGCACAAACCTGAGCCAAACCTCTGCATGGCTACGAACCCTCATTTGCCAGATTTTACACAGTATCCTGAAATGTTCCCAGCATGCATATGGATCGTCAAAATTTGAATATGCTTCGCGCATGGATGTGGACTTTTAACAATATGGGAATTAGCGTTGGCCGTATAACACAGGTGTAGAGTAGCATGATTAGATTAGATAGAGTTGCATGACTACGTGGAAACAATACATGTAGGGTTCGACGTATTCAGCAAACAGCAGAAGCCTGAACCACTTCAGTAAAATGACCGATACACGCACATAAAGGAATTAAAGACATTCCAGGTTGAAGTTCACCTACATGGAACTTGTTTTAGCCGAAGCAAAGACCAGGCTCGCTTCACCAACGGTCCTCAATTATGTTTAGAGGTGTAGCCTACGTATGGGCTGCATTCAATTAAATGTAATATGAAGTTTACCGTAACGCCCCCCACCTTAACGTTACATGAAAAGAGGTGTTCTACCGTTAAGTACTGGTAGGCTACTCCGGGTCTGTCCGAGGTAGCCGACACTTGTGCTATTGCGTCAAAACAGACCAATAAGCGGGATACCCGCTCACACTGAAGCTATTGGGGAAACAGCGTTCAACAACATCCCGAAAAACCCGCATCTGCCGTTATGTTTTTCAGCGCATATTGTGCTAAAATATAGGGTAAATTAAACAAAATAAGACGAGGCAAAAGATAAAGGTGTTTGGTGACAGGTGTGGGTTTGTTTACCTTGCTATGATGCGGATCGTCTTCTCCACGGGCAGCTGCGGATACGGAGCCGCGGATGATGCGCAGGAGGCTGGGTGATGCTGCTCGCGACGTCGGTGTAACCAGCGCCGTGTTTCAGATGACAGAGGCGACCCAGACGCGATTCACATAGCTTTGTTACTGTCCCTCTCCTTTTCTCCGCATTCAAGGACGAGCCAGCTCTCTCTCTTTCTCTCTCTCTCTCTCTCTGTCTCTCTCTCTCTAATTTATTCCTCTCCTTCGCATCCCTGCTTTCTTTCGATCACCTTCTGGTCTCCTTTTACCAGTGTCAAGCCCGCGAAAGTATAGCAAAAGTACTTCCGGTACTTGAACATTTAAACGTCCTCACTTGAACGTCCAGCTTGCATAAATGCTAATGTTCGTAGCTACATTAATTAATCAGTATTTCTACATCGTGATGTTTATTTTAAACTGATAATGTTAATGGCAAGCCATTTTCTGCAAAAACAACACTGCACCAAACCAAAGGCAGAAAAACATTCATAAACCAATCAAACTATTTTTTGTTTCAAGTCTTTACTGTAAATCAAAGAAGGCATAGGTTCAGGAACAGAGCGGGGGACTGGCCCCACATTTTTTCAAAAGCGCAGAATATTTTTATTTATTTATTTTAAATACCTTCAACTTTGTGTCATTTCCCCTTAGTGTCTGACTGGACCAAAAAGAATGGAGCAAAAGTTATGTTACTGGGGAAATACTGAATCTGAAACCACAATGGCCTTCTACTACTACTATGCTATTACCCAAAGAAGTCTAATATAATTGAGTAAATGTTATTCTGTTGGCCTAATATTCAATTCAGGGTATGGAAGACCACATTCACATGGCTTTGTTGGGGAGCCTCGATTTACAGTTAGGGTGGCCCACATTGTGGATTTAATTTGTCATTTAAACAGTCACTCTGATAACTCTACTCCAGCATAGTGTATTAAAAAAGGTTTCAAGATGACTAATGCTATTTATGCCAAATTCCTACCTCCCTATGTATGTTATGTAACTTTAAAAATAGTAACATCAAACAACTTATTTTTAGGTCGCTGAAGTGTAAATAATCATCCTCAACATGTGTTGTGTTCTGGTTTCAGAATGATATGGACAGCTGGAGAACAATTTACACAATAAAGATTTTGTGGGCTCTACAGAGATTTATTTTCTTGCCAACTGACGGGTTTTTTTCATATGATATTCATAAGATATTGTTATAAAATGGCTTGAAATATAGTACATATAGCTGCCGTAAATAGGAATAGAATCCCCTCCCCTGGTTTTGGCTGATACCCGAATGTTTGCAACATCTGGCTCCACACCTGGTTAGGCCTAATTATACGTACGTCCTCTAGTGCAGAGCCCCAAATTAAAAGCTTTAATTTTGAAGGCAAGTCGATAACTTCCGGTATTTGTCTTGCTTCCCCCGGCCAGCTTGATGCAGCATCTCCGTCTTTGGACGGCGCCAGTTTGCATCTCCTTTTGTTGTGGACTCCTTGGCTGCCTGGAAGTGAAGCACAGAGGGGGCAGGTGCGGCCCCGCTCCACACCCCTGCTCCCCGGGGACCAGCGCAGAGAAAGAGACCCCTCCAATTACACCCTGCAAAATATATTGCACTGAAGACTCTGCTTTACTTTTCATTTTATTATGCTTCAGTTTACTTTTACAAAATATCATAATAACAAAACAATATCCAAAAATAAATTCAATAAAGATAAGTCCATACGAATAAAGTGATTAATGACGCAATAAACAAGTATGAATATTATTATTAATAATAATCATAACTGCATTATTATTAATAATAATAACAATAATAAATATGTCTATTTTCATATGATAAAAATGTCTTAAAATTCAGGTTTATTTCATATGGTCTGGTGTTTTTTCTAGAACAGGGGTCTCAAACTCGTGGCCCGCGGGCCAGTTGCGGCCCGCGAGCCGATATTGTGCAGCCCCCTATCTAACATAAAAGTGTAATGTTAATGCGGCCCGCGCGTTTTTCTCACGCGCACCTTTTTCTCACGCGCACCTTTTTGCCGAGTTGTTGCGCGAGTCGTTGTGGGCGTTTTATATTTACAATGTGAATTAGCGAAACTCGTCACTTGGTTGAAACGTGATTCAGGAGTGACACCAAGTGGAAGGAAAGTATATCTCACCCAGTCCCAGTCATGTCTTTCTCAAAACCTGCCGTGAAGAGAAAAGTTGGCGAAGAGCACAGACAATTCCAGGAAAAGTGGGAGACGGAATATTTTTTTGTTGAGCACCGGGGCACTCCGACGTGTCTTATATGCACAGAGAAAGTCGCGGTACATAAGGAGTACAACCTCAAACGTCATTACTCAAAGAGACATGCCGAGGAGTATACAAAATACCAGGGAGATGAGAGAGAGGCCCGGGTCGGCGATCTTAAAACATGTTTACTGAGGTGACAAGATTTTTTTAAGAAAGCGAGCAAAGCGAGTGACGCGGCAGTCGAAGCGAGCTACGTGGTGAGTGAGATGATCGCCAAGGCGGGAAAGCCATTCAAAGAAGGCGAGTTCATAAAAATTTGCACGTTACAGGCTGCAAGTATAGTCTGTCCGGAAAAAAAGAGTCAGTTTAGCAACATCAGCCTTTCAGCCAACACAGTGGCAGAGCGCATTTCTGACCTGTCAGGTAACATATATGATCAACTGCGGGAGAAAGCCAAACATTTCTGTGCATTCTCAGTTGCTCTTGATGAGAGCACAGACATCACTGACACTGCGCAGCTCGCAATGTATGTCCGCGGAGTCCAGCTGTGTGATGCCATTGTGGATGCCGGTTTAAAATGGAAGAGGTTTGCTGGAATAACAACCGACGGAGCACCATGAATAACAGGGAGGAAAAATGGACTGGTGGCACTTGATCAAAGAAAACTGGAAGAGGAGGGTGTGGAGGAGGCCACTGCTCTGCACTGCATTATCCATCAGCAGTCCCTTTGCAGCAACTGCCTGAAGTTTTGACAATGTGATGTCTGTTGTTGTGAAATGCATCAACCATATTAGATCCAGGGGCTTAAAGCACCGGCAGTTCCGCGCCTTTTTGGAGGAAATAGAGTCAGCATATGAGGATGTCCTCTACTTCACCGAGGTACGTTGGCTCAGCAGGGGAAACGCCTTGAAGAGGTTCTTTGAGTTGAGAGCAGAAGTGAAAGCCTTCATTGAGAAGGATGGGATGGCTGTTCCTGTGCTAAGTAATCCCAAATGGCTCATGGACTTAGCTTTTCTTGTTGACATCACACAGGAGCTGAATGTACTGAACAAGAAGTTACAAGGCCAAGGGCAGCTTGTCAGTGCTGCCTATGACAACGTCAGAGCATTCTCCACAAAACTTGTTATGGAAAGCCCAGCTCTCTCAGACAAACTTCTGCCATTTCCCAACATGCAAGGCACTCATGGGTGCGGGCACACCATTCAGTGGTGAGAAGTATGCTGATGCCATTGTAAACCTACAGGAGGAATTTGATCACAGGTTTGCAGACTTCAAGACACACAGAGCCACTTTTCAAATTTTTGCTGACCCCTTCTCCTTTGATGTGAAAGATGCCCCTCCTGTGCTTCAAATGGAGCTCATTGACCTGCAGTGCAATTCTGAACTCAAAGCCAAGTTCAGGGAGGTGAGTGGAATAGCAGACAAGCTTGGACAATTTTTGAGAGAATTGCCCCCACCTTCCCTGAGCTTTCCAGGATGTTCAAGCGGACCATGTGCCTTTTTGGGAGCACATATCTGTGTGAAAAGCTGTTCTCAACCATGAACTTTAATAAGTCAAAGTACAGGTCCAAACTTACTGATGAGTATCTTCAAGCCATACTGAGGGTCTCAACTGCTTCCTCCCTCAAGCCAAATGTGGCTGAGCTGTGTGAGAGGAAGCGCTGCCAGGTCTCTGGTAGCAAGGAGTAGGCAAGAGAAGCCTATGTTCTGAAGAATCGTTCATGTTCTGAAGAACCGTTCATGCTCTGAAGAACCCGTTCATGTTCTGAAAAACCCGTTCATGTTCTGAAGAACCGTTCATGCTCTGAAGAACCCGTTCATATTCTGAAGAACCGTTCATGCTCTGAAGAACTCGTTCATGTTCTGGAGAACCGTTCATGCTCTGAAGAACACGTTCACGCTCTGAAGAACACGTTCACGCTCTGAAGAACCCATTCATGTTCTGAAGAACTGTTCATGTTCTGAACTGTTATTAATGAAGATTGGATCAGTTGTACTTTTTTTTGGAATACTTGATGCGGCCCAGCCTCACCCAGACTCTACCTCCAGCGGCCCCCAGGTAATTTGAGTTTGAGACCCCTGTTCTAGAATGTTCCATTTAAGCAGTGCTAGAAGTTGTTTTAAAGCTTGAAATTGATGGGGATTTTCATGTATTAAGCTTTGTTTAAGTAACATTTGCTTTTATTTGAATCACCATTACACACATTAAATTGATAATGGGATTTTGGTGGAACAGTTTTTTAAAAATTCAATCGAGCTATTCTTAATTTGCTTGACAGTCAATCAATAAACACATTTGGATGCTCAGTGGTTTCACAGACTCTTTTACAAATGAAAAATAAATATTAACTTGGGAAATTCACTGCAATTATATGTACTAGTTAGCCAATTGTAAAATGTGTGTTTTTTAATCTAGAGTCATTGGTGTAGTCCAAATCCTCTCAGGCATGGATGGAGCTAGCTGATTTGTTTCAGAATATTATTCATTAGTCAATATTTCAAAGAAACAGGGCCTGTTAGCCACAGGCCCTGTTTCATAATAAAGGTGAGAATGGGGGAAAACACAAAAGTTTGACAATGTTTTGTTGAGAAGTTGATAGGCCTCCTTATTGCTGCAAGAGGAAAACAGGAACATAATGCATCAACAATGAACTGGATCATTCTCAGGAGACAAAACTCATAATGTAACAGCAGTGAAAGACTTTCTGTGAGAGCGACAGCATGGCAGTGGAATCTGTCGAGTAATGGATTACTGATCCGACTCTATAATTTCATATTTCAGCCTCAGGGTCATTAGAGCAGAGCAGGCAACGCACAAAGTGCCACCAATTAGACAGACATTGTCATCTTCTGACAACAGGCATCAACAGACTGCATGCAGAGCTAGCAGGTCCTTCCTAATTGGTAATTACTCAGTCACAGTGCCTCAAGGAAGACTGAAATGTGCTTAATTAATCAGCGATAATTCACACTCTTTTTTGCCTGTTAAATAATGAGCGTTCATGCTGAAACTAAACCGTTCAGTAACGAG